GATGCAACATTGATATTTAATTGTAAACCTTCAATACGACCGACCACATTATAACATCCATGAACGAGGATGCCACCAAGAGGCCCTTGGAAACACTTTCGGATAAGCGCGTACCTGAACCATGGCAACTGAAATTTCGTACGAAAGAAAGTCCTTGGTTGCAGAATTGAAGTACCCTGAGCATAACTGCTATTAACAACCTTCAGTTGTTCACAGGACGACATGCCTCTTCGATTTGAATACACGGAGAGCCAAAGCCGTACAATTCAAAAGCCATGCTCAACAAACAATTGTCTTGCTCATCCAACAATTGTCTTGAAAAGACTCAACATTCAACTGCCATATTTCTGAAAGTGCTTTTTACTCTATCTAGATTCCCGATAACTCTTCTTGGTTGAGTTCTTTGAAGTTGATCAGGATCAAAGAAGAGTGTTTCTGCCCGGTTTTGAGCCGGGGACCTTTCGCGTGTGAGGCGAACGTGATGACCACTACACTACAGAAACTGCTGGAAAGCTAAGTACACGTTTGCGCGTAGATGCAACATTGATATTTAATTGTAAACCTTCAATACGACCGACCACATTATAACATCCATGAACGAGGATGCCACCAAGAGGCCCTTGGAAACACTTTCGGATAAGCGCGTACCTGAACCATGGCAACTGAAATTTCGTACGAAAGAAAGTCCTTGGTTGCAGAATTGAAGTACCCTGAGCATAACTGCTATTAACAACCTTCAGTTGTTCACAGGACGACATGCCTCTTCGATTTGAATACACGGAGAGCCAAAGCCGTACAATTCAAAAGCCATGCTCAACAAACAATTGTCTTGCTCATCCAACAATTGTCTTGAAAAGACTCAACATTCAACTGCCATATTTCTGAAAGTGCTTTTTACTCTATCTAGATTCCCGATAACTCTTCTTGGTTGAGTTCTTTGAAGTTGATCAGGATCAAAGAAGAGTGTTTCTGCCCGGTTTTGAGCCGGGGACCTTTCGCGTGTGAGGCGAACGTGATGACCACTACACTACAGAAACTGCTGGAAAGCTAAGTACACGTTTGCGCGTAGATGCAACATTGATATTTAATTGTAAACCTTCAATACGACCGACCACATTATAACATCCATGAACGAGGATGCCACCAAGAGGCCCTTGGAAACACTTTCGGATAAGCGCGTACCTGAACCATGGCAACTGAAATTTCGTACGAAAGAAAGTCCTTGGTTGCAGAATTGAAGTACCCTGAGCATAACTGCTATTAACAACCTTCAGTTGTTCACAGGACGACATGCCTCTTCGATTTGAATACACGGAGAGCCAAAGCCGTACAATTCAAAAGCCATGCTCAACAAACAATTGTCTTGCTCATCCAACAATTGTCTTGAAAAGACTCAACATTCAACTGCCATATTTCTGAAAGTGCTTTTTACTCTATCTAGATTCCCGATAACTCTTCTTGGTTGAGTTCTTTGAAGTTGATCAGGATCAAAGAAGAGTGTTTCTGCCCGGTTTTGAGCCGGGGACCTTTCGCGTGTGAGGCGAACGTGATGACCACTACACTACAGAAACTGCTGGAAAGCTAAGTACACGTTTGCGCGTAGATGCAACATTGATATTTAATTGTAAACCTTCAATACGACCGACCACATTATAACATCCATGAACGAGGATGCCACCAAGAGGCCCTTGGAAACACTTTCGGATAAGCGCGTACCTGAACCATGGCAACTGAAATTTCGTACGAAAGAAAGTCCTTGGTTGCAGAATTGAAGTACCCTGAGCATAACTGCTATTAACAACCTTCAGTTGTTCACAGGACGACATGCCTCTTCGATTTGAATACACGGAGAGCCAAAGCCGTACAATTCAAAAGCCATGCTCAACAAACAATTGTCTTGCTCATCCAACAATTGTCTTGAAAAGACTCAACATTCAACTGCCATATTTCTGAAAGTGCTTTTTACTCTATCTAGATTCCCGATAACTCTTCTTGGTTGAGTTCTTTGAAGTTGATCAGGATCAAAGAAGAGTGTTTCTGCCCGGTTTTGAGCCGGGGACCTTTCGCGTGTGAGGCGAACGTGATGACCACTACACTACAGAAACTGCTGGAAAGCTAAGTACACGTTTGCGCGTAGATGCAACATTGATATTTAATTGTAAACCTTCAATACGACCGACCACATTATAACATCCATGAACGAGGATGCCACCAAGAGGCCCTTGGAAACACTTTCGGATAAGCGCGTACCTGAACCATGGCAACTGAAATTTCGTACGAAAGAAAGTCCTTGGTTGCAGAATTGAAGTACCCTGAGCATAACTGCTATTAACAACCTTCAGTTGTTCACAGGACGACATGCCTCTTCGATTTGAATACACGGAGAGCCAAAGCCGTACAATTCAAAAGCCATGCTCAACAAACAATTGTCTTGCTCATCCAACAATTGTCTTGAAAAGACTCAACATTCAACTGCCATATTTCTGAAAGTGCTTTTTACTCTATCTAGATTCCCGATAACTCTTCTTGGTTGAGTTCTTTGAAGTTGATCAGGATCAAAGAAGAGTGTTTCTGCCCGGTTTTGAGCCGGGGACCTTTCGCGTGTGAGGCGAACGTGATGACCACTACACTACAGAAACTGCTGGAAAGCTAAGTACACGTTTGCGCGTAGATGCAACATTGATATTTAATTGTAAACCTTCAATACGACCGACCACATTATAACATCCATGAACGAGGATGCCACCAAGAGGCCCTTGGAAACACTTTCGGATAAGCGCGTACCTGAACCATGGCAACTGAAATTTCGTACGAAAGAAAGTCCTTGGTTGCAGAATTGAAGTACCCTGAGCATAACTGCTATTAACAACCTTAAGTTGTTCACAGGACGACATGCCTCTTCGATTTGAATACACGGAGAGCCAAAGCCGTACAATTCAAAAGCCATGCTCAACAAACAATTGTCTTGCTCATCCAACAATTGTCTTGAGAAGACTCAACATTCAACTGCCATATTTCTGAAAGTGCTTTTTACTCTATCTAGATTCCCGATAACTCTTCTTGGTTGAGTTCTTTGAAGTTGATCAGGATCAAAGAAGAGTGTTTCTGCCCGGTTTTGAGCCGGGGACCTTTCGCGTGTGAGGCGAACGTGATGACCACTACACTACAGAAACTGCTGGAAAGCTAAGTACACGTTTGCGCGTAGATGCAACATTGATATTTAATTGTAAACCTTCAATACGACCGACCACATTATAACATCCATGAACGAGGATGCCACCAAGAGGCCCTTGGAAACACTTTCGGATAAGCGCGTACCTGAACCATGGCAACTGAAATTTCGTACGAAAGAAAGTCCTTGGTTGCAGAATTGAAGTACCCTGAGCATAACTGCTATTAACAACCTTCAGTTGTTCACAGGACGACATGCCTCTTCGATTTGAATACACGGAGAGCCAAAGCCGTACAATTCAAAAGCCATGCTCAACAAACAATTGTCTTGCTCATCCAACAATTGTCTTGAAAAGACTCAACATTCAACTGCCATATTTCTGAAAGTGCTTTTTACTCTATCTAGATTCCCGATAACTCTTCTTGGTTGAGTTCTTTGAAGTTGATCAGGATCAAAGAAGAGTGTTTCTGCCCGGTTTTGAGCCGGGGACCTTTCGCGCGGGGAGCGCGTATAGTAAGGTCTAACTCTCTTAACTTTACCATTCATTCTCTATGGTAGTTCTTACACTGTGACTGCAATATATTTCTGGCCACAAGCGAGAAATTGGGGGCGCTGTTGCGCCCTTTTGGTAGAGGTAAGGAGACCCCGTTTCCAGTGACAGAGAGTGAGAGACGGAGCAACAGCAGCAGCATCTTACAGATAGAGACGACATTAGCGACACAATTCGACTTCTAACATCACGTCAAACTTATCAAACGTAAGTGGGGCTTATTTTTCTATGACTGAATTAACACTTATCATATTGTTACACTGTTTTTGCAATAGTTGTTAGTTGTTTGTTTGTTTGTCTTTAACTCTGTGTGTCTAAGGTACTGTAACTTTTGTTAGCTAACGTTACACTAACGTCATGTATTTACAGTAAATGTCAGCGTTAACAGCAGCTGATTTATTACTCATTACACATGGCAAAAGAGCTGTCAAATGTGTTTTACAGGTGTATCTTGTTAACACTGTTCCAAAATACTGCATTATTTGACTCTTTTCATTGCTGCAGTTCTTAATCTGGTAAATACTACAGTATTCAGTCTTAAAACTTTTTTTTTGCTATCTTCTATTGTACTTTTGTTATTATGTTATGGCTAAAGATGTTACCCATCTGCTTTTCAGTCTGTCTGTTCGTGCAATAGAGAAGTTGCTACCTAGTCATTACAAATCCCAATTAATGTAAACATGAAATAAAGTGAGTTCACTCACATTGACAGGGCAATACATAACAAATCTTCCTGCCCACCTGCCCCTCTGTTTGTTTGTTTGTCTGCCTGTCTGATCATGTAATATAAATGTGTTACCTATACAAATCCTGATTAACGTGAATGAATGAAATGAATAACTCTGCTAATATAACAGTATGATTATTTTTGCACTTCTTAATATATATACTTTGCATTGTGTTTTTCTGTGTGCAGGAGATAATGAAGAAAACCATATTCTTCCCAGGAAAGATGAGAGTGTCTTTCAGGAAGGGTCCATCTGGCCACCTGAGACAGGACCCTTCAGAGGAGGGGATGAGAATACAAAAAAATCCTTCCCTTCAGGACAAGTCTGCTGCTCAGAAACATGAGCATGTGAGGACAAATGCTCTCACTGAGGTCCTTCAGAGGGGAGGGGATGTATCTGACCGACTCGAGGTGATGGGGGAGTACTGCTACAGTTTGGAAAGTATAAGGGGAAACTGTACTCCATCACCTGTGCTTTATAGGGCCACCAGCAGCAGTCTCCAGAGCCCCGGCTGTGTCTACACCAACAGGTTTATCTCCAGCAGTGTGGAGGGATAACTTATCCGTGTTCGGGTCTGTTCTGATGCTTGTGTTATTCTGTTCTCCAACTAACTGAAGGAATTAACATGTCAGCAATGATGGTAATTGTTTTTCCTTTTTTGCATGCTTTTTTTAGACTGTCATACAAGGATTTGGCATTTTAAATATTGGCTTAGGAAACCTAGCTTCTTACCCTCTAAGATATCATGCCACACCTTTGAATGAAAGATGTGCTTGCTATATATGTATGCTGTTTCTCTGCTTTACCTGTTTCCAAACACATATAGACATTATGTTTTTCTATTTAAAATAATTGGGATTCACAAGTGAATGCAACAGGGTATTTTCATTCTGTTAAAGAGACAACGGGTAAAGACAGATTGTGAAGCTTGAAACAACTTAACACTTGAGGAACATGACACAGGATTGTTTCTACAGCCCACAGGACTTATCCAACTGCCACTGCCACTGTGTCCAGACCCGATGGACCTGCTCCTCTGAAAGGTTATTGGGTTTTTATACTCCTCACTTGGATCCATCTTGAATCTTTTTCATACATATTATGTATATATACCCTCATGTTTGTTTTCGCCTTTCATCCTTCAGCCACAGTGAAGGCACCGCTGCCGGTCCCTCCTCAGCTGCTCGCCATTGCCCCAAAGCTCGGGATAGAAGAGCAGGCGCCAAATGTGTTGAGACAAAGTATGTGTTCTTCTTATACTACCAGTGTATCTCACAAAAACTTCAATTTCATTCTGACAAATCACATTGTCACGGTGTCATACAGTATAGTGCTCACGTTTTAGGTAAAGTTAAGTAATGATATCATCGTCTCTGTTTTCATTTATTCACAACTTCTTAAATGCTGCTTCTTAATTTTTCCATGTATAATGTGTATACGTCACTTGCCTGTTTGTATCTCATCATCCCAGATTCATCACCACATAATATGGCCCCTGTGGAAGCGCAGGGAGACACTGTCCTTGATGAAGGTATGGATATCTGTGACACTGTATTATAGCAGTCATTTATATAGAGCTTTATTCAATTTTATCTGATGTAACTGTGGTGTTTTACTGTGTCTTACAGCTCTGACTTGCCCAGCGCCTCCTGTCCCCTTAGCAGCACCACACCAGCCTGCAGCCTCTGTCCCGGGCTATAATGAGGATGTTGCCAACTGGAACTGCTCACACCAGCAGAAGATTTGGATGAAGACTGAGTTGGAAACATTGGGTCTGTGGCCAGGTTCACGTCCAGTGAGACATCTAATGAACATGTTGTCCCTGTGGCGTTATCCGCCTCAGCCTGAGCTCATAGACTCGATATCTGACCTGCCTTCACCCAATTTTTATCAGCTTCATCCATATTTCATTTGGAAGCCAGAGCACGCGATCATGGAGAGGGTGAGAAACAACTTTGTTTTGCCCTGTCTCTATGGTTGTCCGAACCCTCAGGTCGTTTCTTCTGGCATTGGAAGGCCAAGAGTCATCCTTGGGACAAGCGGCCAGTACTATATTTTGGCTTCGCGACTCACCTGCAAGGTCTGCAAAAAGTACTGGCATGCTGACAAGCCCCAGTGGCTGGAGAAGCTACCCCAGCGTTTCAGCAACATCGTGCCGGCCTTCCTGACTCACAAAAAGGCAGTCTGCAAATCTGTCCTGGATCAGATGAGGCGCAGCGGCAGATCACCAGAGGACATGTCCAAGCAGCTGACGGAGGCGCTCAATCTGAAATATGAGAGAGCTCATCTGGCCTACCTGCTGTGTGTGCAGAATGTCAGGGATGCTGAGGCAGGAGTCTACGGCCAAAGGACCATCACTGGGTTCCTCAGACAGGAAGATACTCCGGCTCCATTTGGTGGATACTCGGATGGTGATGGCTGGTGTGGAGTTTCTGTCTCTTCCCACTACCTGGTGGAGTGCCTGGTCCGTGAGTATCAGCGGCAGGAGGAGCTCCTTACTCTGCTGCTTCAGGGGACCTTTGGTCAGGCACTGAGGTCAGATCACACTCGGAGAGTGGCTAGGAAGGTTGTGCTGTCGTCCGGCACCATGTCTTCCTATGCCATCATGAATGAGAACTGGATGATCCTGAGCTGGGTGATGCTGCAGTCAGAGTGTGATAGGTCCCTTAACCCGTTGTATGAGGGTCTGTCTCAACGCTACACTGTGGCTGGAGTGGAGAAGGCACGCTACCAGTGGGTGGACAGGTATAAACAACAAGTTTCAATTGAAAACAGTTTATTCTTTTTTTTTAGTTGTTTTTTAATTGTGCATTTTATTCTGTAATCTGACTCTTCATAAATATAATACACATGAATAGTTACAGTTAATTATTACACTAATTTTGTACGAAGATATTGTACAAGGTTTATAGCTGTAATGACATTTCTTTTTAATGCTTTAGGGACTGCTGCGCTGCCTTCAAGGTCCTTCAACCTGGGGCTCAGGAGCACTTGTGGGACAGCTGGAGGACCACAGATGCTATCCTGGCAGAGGCCACCTCTGGAAATCTCAAGAACATTTGCGCATCAAGGAACAAGTTTAACAAAGACATTATTGTCAAGTTGGACTTGTTTCATTGTATGCGGCGGTTTACCAGGGAGTGTGTCTCCGAGCATCATTCTTTGTACAGCTCCTTCTGCCAGTTCCTCTCTGCAGCATTCGTTGTGGTGGACCACAGCGATCTCCAGAAGCGGAAGGAGGCGTACACGTTCTGCAGAATTTCTCCTGCTAACCCCACCAAGCAGCACATAAGAGAGCACTGCAGGACAAAGGTGCCACAGCCAATGGAACTGCTGCAAAGAGTGGAAGACGTCCTCCATCACTATTACATGGCAAAGGATGCCAATGATTTGCTCCTTTTTAAAGACTCAATGTTAAAGGTGTGGAGGATCCAGCGCATCCACATCCTCCGAGGCTGCCTGAGCGACCCTGAAGTGGGAGAGGGAATCCTCTACAGGTATGGTGGCACCCTGCAGCTGAATTACAACAAGGGCGAGGGAGCTGCCGTGCCTGTGTGGATCCCTGTGAGAGGCACCTCTCAGCAGGAGGGTTTCCACGGACACCAAGCCCAATGGGTGACAGGCAACCGGGTGTCCTGTGAACTATTCCAGGCCCAAGCTATGACTGGAGTTGTGCGCTGGAACTACCAGAGGCTGGTGGACCTGAAACAGCCAGATGTGGAGCTGCCAGCCGTGTTTGACCCCCGGTTGATTTCAGAGCTTAACACCATCTCTGTAAAAGTCACAGGAAGGTCCAAATACCCAGCACTGCAGCTCTCCAACAGGGACACGGGGGAGAGATTTGGACTGCAGTACGTGGAGCCAGGCTGTCGTCCTGTTGTTTTGAACTGGGACAAGAACAGGGCACAGCCAAACAACCCAGCGGCAGTAGCCATGGAGACAGAGCATCATTGCCCTGCCCCTACTGTTGTAGTGGGCACAGAATCTCAGGTAATCCAGTTCATATTTATATCTACTTACTGTCAAGTACTGACAGACTGGCTGACTAACTAATTCACTATATTTGTGCTATTTCAGGAATCCTCTGCTGATCCAGTTGGGGCAGTGCCAATTCTGTCTTCCAGTTCCCGGCAGTCCTCTGATGTTGTGACCAAGTCCCTGCCGCCTTTCACACAAGCCTCTGCCACACAAAAACCAGAGCCTTTGATAGATACAGGTCATTCTAATTACCTACCTACCTCACTGTTAAAAACAGGCGTGCACATAATATATGTAATATCATCATGTTGAAATATTGTTTATTAACAACAATCATTAAGCAAGTGTATGCAAAATGTAAAAGCCATTGAAAAGCATAATAGAACAAGAGGTAGGAATATAAGATAATCATTTATTTGTCCCACAAAAGTTACATTAGCTGTGAAGTGAAATGACTAAAAGAGCTAATTGATTTGCAACACACTGGCATAAAACAATATAATTAACATATATTTCTTTTTTAGACTTGACAGGGGTAGCACCGCTGCCTCAGTCCTCCTCTCCTCGAGCCACCCGCACTGGACCAATTAAAACTGGTGGCCTCATTCAAGTCTTGGACCATGGTCGGTGGACAGAACCCATGAAAGCTGCCATCGACGAGCTTCTGGTAAACCACCGTGGTGCCAAAGATGTCCTGAAGCGGGTGGATGCGGACTACGCTGCCATGGTCCAGAGGGGATGCACAGACCGGAACAGCCTCCTTCACCCGACCACAGTCCAACATATCTCACGATATGTTAAACATCTGGCAAAATTAAAAAATACCAGCTCTTCCCTCAACACATCCCCAGAAAAGGTCTTAGAGACACAGCAGCTGTGGCATAGTTTGACCTCAGGCAGCCAAACTATCAGTGTGCCTGTCATAACTCTGCCACCTGCCATATTCAACCCTCCAGCTGTGGCTCCCAGACAGGAGGACTCACTGAGCAGGGCTTCAGTGGAGAAGATTGTGGCAGACGTCCTGGCAAATCAACAGCAGCCGCAGCAGCAACAACAGCCTCAGAAAAAGACGCTGATGAGAAACTGTTTAGCCTGCGGTCAGCCTAAATCCCGATATCTTGGGGATGGCTCTTCAGTGCATTTTTTTTACCAGTCAAAAACGGTAAAATACTTTTACTGCTCCACCAAGGTCTTTAAGACCTATGCTAAGGAAGGCCTCAAAGACACCAGGATGTCTTTTGAGAACTTTGCTGCAACTCAGTTTTTTGAGCGAGAGCTGGAGGCTGCCAGACAGAGGGGGGCAGAGTGGAGAAAGGTTGCAGAGGAGAGAGGGAAGAGGAAGGCAGCTGTGCAGCTGCCAACAGGCCGTCTCTGCAGGTTTTGTCACCAACCACTGAAGCAGAGTCCCAACAGCCCTCATACCCATGCATCCTTCCCAGGGGTTCCAGGGAAGTACATCTACTGCCCCTCCAGAGTCTTCTCCTTATATAATGCACAGGGCATGGAGAAGGAGATGACATGGCGGGAGTTCCAGCAGTCGGACTTCTATGATGTTGAAAGGGACAGATGGATTGCAGACAAAAGGAAGCCCTAACCTACCCTCACATACACACAGGCACGCCACTTCCTGGGTCTACTAAGTTGCATACTAACTTAACATACAAACTAAGCCGTTTTGCCTGCAGCAAAAGCGAGACCCCTAAACTATCAGCCTTTTCACCAGTCCTGACAATCCTGCCGATAACAAAACAGTTTTGGTTAATGCCCTCAAAAAACTCAATTCATAATAAAGAATAATAATCATTTCAGGGATTTCTATACAGTAGGTCCTCCACTCCAACCTTGTCTGTGCTGGGGCCTTAAACATGTAATGTATTTAAATGTTGCACTAGAATATTATATAATATACTAGAATAAATAAATGGATCATTAGGCGCGTTCACACCAAGTACTTTTCCCACAGTAGTTCATGAGAACTTTAGTTCATGAGAGTTCTTTTAGTTCTGACGAACTAAAGCAGATCGCGTTCACACCAAAATGAGTTCCTGGGGGTGGATTAGGCAAATGAGCCGCTGACGTCACTTCTTCTGCTTTGGTTTTCCTGGCAGGCCGCAAACAACTTCACGGCGAGTACAGTAGGTGGCGGTATGCACCTTAAAGTTGCAATTCGCCAAAAAACCGAGAGAAGAAGAAAAAAAACTTCCGCTTCCGCTGTATGCTTCTGTTTACCTTCCGACCTCAGACACGGTATGGAGTTGACGTTTTGGTGCTCGTGTTATACAGCTTCGTAACGGAGTTATTTAAGCCAATAACTCAGCCACAAATACAAATACAGATCGACCATTCAAATGCAATAGAAATGCTGAGTCGGAGGCGAAGGCGGTTAAGAAGCCTTAACAAAAGGATTAGACGACGAAATCACACGCGATGGACATGTTTCGCCGTTGTACAGCCGAGGATGATGGCCGTTATCACGCCCAAAGAACAGCAATGGTACGTTCATTAAATCACATTAATACTATCTAATGTAGGATTTATGGAGTTATGTAGGGCTAATTTGTGTCTTTGTATGTGTTCCAGATATGCGAATACTACGGAACTCTGGGTGAACAATAGAACGTCGGCCTGGTGGGAGGTGGTGCCAACGTGTGCAGTGGATCGAAGATTTCCGAATGTCCAAGGGCTCTTTTCAACTCCTCTGTATTCGCCTGGAAGCAATGTTGTGGAGAGGCATCTGAACAGCATGGAAATTGTAAATTGACAATAAAGCTGATATTTTGTACAGTGCATTTGGTTCTCTCTTTTATTTACCAGTCAACAGACACAATTACAATAGTGCAGACACACCTTAGTGCAAAGATTAAATGTCAGTATCAAAACAGTACTCATACTGTATATTTGTATATTAATGAGTATATTATGTTAAATGTGTGTTAAAGACAATGGGATGAGGTTGAAAGCTCTTTAAAAACTTTTGTATACATACATGTTAACATACATGTTAAGCATGCACACCTGAAGAACTACGTTACACACACACAGGTTAGTCTGTGTACCGCTGCACTGCTGCTGGTTTAAACAAAGACAGTCATGATGCTAGTGCCGTGCATGTAGGTTCTCTTTTATTTATCAGCAGCAGATCAATAAGTGTCAGTAGTATCAAAACAATATAATAACAGTGGCAATATATATATATATATATATATTAGGGCTGTCAAGTTAACGCGTTAATAACGCGTTAACGCAAAAAAAAATGAACGCCACTAATTATTTTAACGCGATTAACGCATGTGTATTTTTTGTCCTCGGCCGCCGTAGTTTCAGAGCGCATCGAGTTTAAAATACCATCGACAAGCTGATGCTGACAGCCCCGCTCCTACCGCCCGCTTGTGGCAGACCACACTTCCACGCTCACTGGCAGGCCCGGACTGGCCATCGGGAGGACCGGGAGGGAGTGTGTATGTGTGGCGCGACTCGCGCGAGCGAGGCACACCTTACGTGTTGTTGTTGTTAGCATCTGGTGCTAGCTAGCTGCGCTAACTGATATAAGGAGCTGTTTCAATGACATTTCGCCGACAACTGCGCCGAGCACTTGACTTTATGCAGGTAGCCAGACAGTGGGACATTGTACGAAAAGTCAGCACACTCAGCGCGGATAGTACGCGCAACATGATTGCAGCATCCAGGCAGCTCCCGTTGGAGCATATATGCCTTGAGCTGCACATAGCTCCAACAATCCATCACAGTGTCTCCACACACACACACACACACACACACACACACACACACACACACACACACACACACACACACACACACACACACACACACACACACACACACACACACACACACACACACACACACACACACACACACACACACACACACTCACACACACACACACACACACCACACACACACACACACAGTATTATTGTATGAGAGAGGTTCCAGGTTGAATTGAAGCGAATATTTGTAATGTTCAGAGGTTGTTGTGTTTAATATTCATGAGAATATTTGTCATTGTTCAAATGATAATAAACAAACATATAAAGCATATTTGTCCACTCATATGTTGATAAGAGTATTAAAAACTTGAAAGATATCCCTCTAAGGTACATTTAGAACAGATAAAAAATGTGCGATTAATTTGCGATTAATCGCGATTAACTATGGACAATCATGCGATTAATCGCGATTAAATATTTTAATCGACTGACAGCCCTAATATATATATATATATATATATATATAATAACAATAGGTAGGCTCAGCAGCCTTAGTGCAAAGTTAGGTGTCAGTATTAATAACCGTGGCATATATATATAATCACAATAATACAAAATTAATTGTCACAGGTGTAGGCAATTTGGGGTGAAGTGTCTTGCCCAGGGACACAACGACATCCTGACTACAGTGGGGTTTGAACCTGTGCTCCCCTGATCCGAACACCAACGCACCAGACCACTGCACCACACGCCTCCCAACAAGTCAATGTACAGTTTATCAACGACAAGTTTTTCTTAATTTTTGTATTGAAGGCCTGTTGGATTTAATCAGCTCGCTTAGCACTGCCAGAAGCCCAGCCTGAAAGGTATTTTGTTGCTCCACCTCGATTCCTGGGCCTTGTGTGAATGCAGCAGCCGTTCGTCGTGCATCTCCTTGGCACGCAGGTCCTCATTCTCCTTGCTGACCATGGCACGGCGGTCCATCGCCATGATGGTGTCAAGGAAGCTGTCATCGCGTGCCCACTTTCCTAAGGTGAAATATGCAAGATACAAGATCAGTTTAATCGCAACAACGAGACAACATTGTCCAAATCTGTCTCTGCAGGCACACAACAGGAGGAACACGGGGAACACCTTTGATTTGACTATTAACATTTTAAATGGTGAAGGCACTAGCAATTGGGGGATGGAGGGCTCTCAGGACATGATAGGGAGGCGTGTTGCGCAGTGGATAAGTGCATTGGTGTTCGGATCAGGGGAGCACAGGTTCAAACCCCACTGCAGTCAGCATGTCGTTGTGTCCCTGAGACACTTCACCCCAAAGTGCTCCTGTGGGGATTGCCCACAGTATTGAGTATGTAAGCTTTGGATAAAAGCGTCTAACAAGTGACATGTAATGATTCAAAAAGCTTTTGAATATTGAATAACAAACCAATGTGGTTTACTTGTTATCCACAGTTTAGCTGCTAAATGTTTTTTAGCAATGCTTTTCTTTGTGCTCCACATATCTAAATGTATAAAGTGTGTTTTCACCTCCGTTCCCTCCTGTTTGCTGCAGTATGGCAGCAGCGGTCAGGATGGTAGTCCTGATGGTGTCCGCTGACCGGGCACAGGGTGTGGAGCTGCCTACTCTCAGCGGGGAGGAACTGAACGTGGAAACTGTGTTTCTCTGAGGGATCCTCCATGTAGTCTGAGAAGCCTTCTGAGGAAACAAGGTCAAACTATTTAGGATAATACAAGGAACAATGTTTAGGCAGTAAATAGAATTTCAATTACATTTCTACTTCAATGTGCAAAAATATTAGAACATCAGTCTTTGTGGCATGCAGGTAATCAACTGTTTAAGCTTTTACCATTAACATGTAGAATGAATGTTGCAAATTACTTGAAATTATAGCAACTACAATCTATTGTTTACCTCTATGCATTAGCCACAGAGGTAGCATTATGTCCAGCTAGCATGCTAATTGCTAACGTTATATTATCGTTTTATCCCGGAGGGGAAAACTAGTTTCTAATCCTGAGAGAAACACCTCGCCTGAAACACACGATTAGTGCCATGAGTTAGTGAAGCAAATTACAGAACATTGCACACTTATTCACAAGTCAAAACGTGTTCATAGCGGGCATGGATGAGAATAGCTAGCTAGCTAGATGTTATTAGTGTAGGAGTAGAATACCTCTGCTACGCGCCGTTCGTTGGATGAGGCTGGATCTCTATTAAATTAAGAAAGGAATTGAAAACACCGGAATCAAAGTTATAACAAATTATCTGAGTTTACTTCTAGTAGGAAACCAAACACATATACAAGTTATACAGAGTACTCGAGTACCCCGGACTTTTAGATTTGTGATGCGATGCGGATAAATGCATCGGGACCAGACAAACTCATCAAACGAGAAGAAATTGGACTTCAAGTTTGTGATTCGATGCGGACACAGATATCAGGACTAACAAACTCACCAAACCCAAAAGCAATTTTACACACACAAACGTCAGTATTTCTATCTGTCTTTGGGGCGGAGATTTGTCGATTCTTCCTTCCCACTTTTCTCCCAAGCGAATCAGAGAAGCCCTGGGGAGGAGCTGTTTAAACTGACCACCTCCTCCAAGTGTCCTGATTGGCTGGATTCGCTTCTGGCCGAGGTCAATCAGAGTTTCGAACAGAGTGAGACCCCAAACCACACTAGGTCAAAAGTCAATGTTATCTCCGTCCCGATCTCCCCTCCCTACCTTTTCCAGGGGATCTTTTCTTATTTTACGATGTCTTTAACGACTTAGAAACAGCATCTGGCTCTTAGTGGTGATAAGGATCAATGTTGGTGTGTGAAACACAGAATCTCTAAGTCAGTGAGTTTGAAAGTGAGAATAACATTCCTATTCTATATATAATTACCCAAACCGTTGTGATTACATAAAACAGTTCAAACAATACATGTTTACTTCAATACAGTGTAGAATCATATCTTCTTACTTCAATCCCTCTTTTGATCTCACCTCACGAGATCAACATATAGCATTTGAAACATTACCACTGTCAATTTTCTTCTTACTGTGTCTGTCCCAAC